TTGAAATGGTTGTTGTAGAAGTCTGTATACGTTTCATGATTATGTGTTGAACAATATATTGACTTATAAAATTATTCATAGTATGTATTTAGAGTTGTGTGTTAGTAGGTGAACACTTTGTTAGATAATAGATAGATTTAGTAAAAGGCATGCCAAAAAGAAAAGTTCTTTTTCTTTGTACGTATGAAATAGACTTTTACACAAAGATCTTGTAATGTAATAAACTTGTTCGTTACTCAAGATTTTAGTTATAGAACTGAATATAGTTGGCAGATTCACACTAGCTCCTAAGAATCGGGGATCATTGTATAATTTTCCGATAGACCTCAGGGCTCAGACAAAGAGAATACCAGATTCTTATTACTTTTTGAAATTGCGTGATTACAATATCTACTACCTATAAGTTCAGCACAACGGGAATTCATGCCTGTTTTACATGAAATTGTATATAGAAACATTTGCATGCATTGCGTTTGGAAAAAGCATGCCAAATTCAATTGGACAACACGAGATTTCTCAACAAACCTAATCAGGATATGTTTTATCAGTAAAATTACACCTTTGTATATGATAAAGTAAAATTGATGATTATTAATTACTATTTAATTTCTGCCAATCAGTTTAAGCGTAAAATTTCGCACCTAAAGATGAGGTCGCGTTATTGAATTTCCTCGTTATTGAGTCGTATCATAGAGTCTAGGTAATTGTCGAGAGTCGAGAGTAAAATGTCAAGAGTCGATTTCGCGCACAAAATGATGTTTCTATTTATGTGTTAGGTTTACTTTTACTTATTTTCATAGCACGTTACCTATGCCAAGAGACTATGGTGACACTGTTTTTAGTGCAAAGTTTCTGTGAAACTTTGCAGTATTGTGGTGAGTGGCGAAAATTAACATCAGACAGTCAGACAGTCAGTCAGTCATAGTGTAAACTCCGGGGGGCGGAGTGTTTTTATGCGTATAGTAGCTTTTTGTATATAATCAGTAATTTAAAGTTTTTAAATCAGTTTAACTTGCTTTATTTATTAATTCTCTACATCCCTTTTGCTAAGTTCACCAAAATATTGAGGAATTTTGACGGTTACTGTAAATTTTAAAGCATTGCTTTTCCGCGGTTTGGGTTTTGTTTCAAAGGGATTTGCGCAGATTTACCCCCAGAACACCCGATTTTTTCCTATACGTCGCAACTGCGCATGTGCCGTCGAGCCTTCAACATTATTCACGATGTAAAGAAACGAGGAGCGACGAGCATTGCTTCAAAACATTCCGAGCGTAAAAATCGTGCAATTCTTTGAGAATCTACGCAATTTATCAACTTATGTTATGAATTACGAGCATTCAATTCGACACAAATATAATTTAGAAGGTTTATTCCATAAATAGAGCTAATAGGTTAGGAAGAAACGACGCTGTGTTGTTTATGTATTGATAGATCTCTTACACGAATGACGAATATATATTATGTCGATATATAGCAAGTCGATACCTGGTATTCTGCATACAGTACATAAATGATACTATACAAAACGGACATTTTGTGCAGTAATCAAATCATTTTGGCGGTATACAGTATTGATTATATGTATATTGTTTTGTATCGATTTAGCTACGCGTCGAAGTATCCACATCATAGACATAATATGCACCGCGGTTTATTTACATTATTTACAACGCAACTATTTTGGCTATTCTTATAAAATGACGATAAATTGTTGCCATCATATAAATGTAGTGAATGTAGTCACAGTTGTTTGACGAAGAAAAGAGACTAAACTGAGAAAATCGCGTCCGGTTTACATGGGCAACTAAAATTATAATTTAATAGTGACAGTATCCGCGGCTAACGTAACTTGAGTACTTTGAATAATTTCCTTTTGATTAATGTTTAACCTAGTTCATTATATTTTTACTGGCATAAGTCAAAATGTTTATGTTGGGAAAACGTGTTGCTTAGGTACTACAGGGCATGAAAACTTTGCACTATCCTTGGATCCCTAGTTTTTATCAATTGACGCTTTATGTTTCAACTTCCGACATGGATGCGTCAAGTGACAGAACTCGACGCACACCTTGCGCTTTTTGTCTCGTTTATGAAACGATCGATTCTGTCTTTAAAGTGTTGCATAAATATAAAAAAATGTTGAAACGGTTATATTCCGATATTTTGAGCGGTAACTCGGGCGAGGAAAATGAATACCAAATGAGTCCGAAGACGTGGCTCTGGCGAAAGCCCTAGAAGCGAGCAACGTAGGCATAGTACAAAATATGGACTGGATTGGACTGGTCTGGACTGGACTGGTCCATATTTTGTTCTCTGGACTCAAAATTGGACTCAAAATTGGACTCAAAATTGGACTCAAAATTAGTCTGAAAACTGGACTCAAAACTGGACTTCAAATTCTCAAACTGGACTCAGCTAAAATTTCAAAAAAATTCAAAAAAATTAATTCATCATAGAACTTTATTATCATTACTGTCACATTCAGAATGACCGAAATGGACATATTCCGAGCAATTATCCATCTTGGTACTCTTGCAATTGTTCATTTAATATAACACAACAAAAAACAGGCCGTCTGCGTAGCATGAGTTCGCCTGCCAGAGCTATAATTATTCAACGAAGTAAATATAACACCGTAGAGGATAGACACTGAAAACGAGCACGATATAATACCTCTTTGTTTCATACGAATACTGTATATGTGTCAAATCTTAAGCCCCGCACAGACGAGCAAGTTTTCCTTGACAAGTTTTTTGACACGTTCACTTGCTCGTCTGTACGACGAACAAGTTTTCCTTGACAAGTTTTCCTTGACAAGTTTTATTTGTTCGTGTGTACGTAAAAAAATTTTAAAAAAGACAGCAGAATCCGTCCAGGAAACTGCCATAATAATTCTTAAAGCACCGAATTTCAAGACAAACAAAAATTATGAAACTTCAAAAAGCGGCTCGAATATATTGATGCGCAGTAGCCTACTGCGCATTTCCTTGTCAAGTTTTCCTTGACGGCCGTACACACGAACATTTTTCCTTGTTGAAAAGCTGGCATGACTAGCTTTTGAACAAGGCTCCTTGTCAAGGAAAAATTGTCAATTTTCGTGCGTACACACGGGCAAATAAAACTTGTCAAGGAAAACTTGTCAAGGAAAACTTGCTCGTCTGTGCGGGGCTTTAATGATGAGTTTAAAACGAAAAGCAAATGATAACCACATAAAATATCGTAAGTCACATGCACAGGCCTTTATTGAACCGAATGTCTTGTTTCTCGTAACATTGTGTTACTTGAGACCGAAAGGCCACGACTGATGATCGAACTCATCGAAGTGTAGTTTGTGGCGGATGCCGTGCCTGCCATATTACATGACGCCTCAAACACATTGTTATACCCTTCGAGTCAGAAAAACAAAAGCTAAGGCCGCAAAATATTTTATACTCCTTATTTACGCATTTTTTTTGCAAAAATGGGGTTAGGGTTAGTCTGCACAAACAAATTCTTGGGATGCAGAATACGACTTCCCTTGTTTGTGTCCATTTTAATTGTGCAATAGCAGTTTTTATGACACCTCATCTATTGTGAGTGTTTCAGTGCGGTAATTTCTTGATCGTTTAAACACCGAAAAAATTTCATAAGACCGTAAAGCAACTTCGTTGCCAATGGCCAGTTACGAGTGTTAATCTAATAGTCAACCTGTTCATCACACTTGATGTAATGAAATTAAATACCTCACACCTCGTTGTGGCGGTTTTGTAAAAACAAGCGAACTGGCGCTGTCGGTTTATTCGATACTTATTGCCTGCAGTATAAGTACTGACAACATTCAATTATTCTCACGTGTTTGGAAACCCCGGTAAAACACTCGCACTCGTTTATGAAATATTACTTCATATTTTCACGTGTAAGAGCAATATCATATTATTATAAACTGGCTTACATTGTTTGCACTAAGCCTCAGCGGCTCGACTTCCAGCTTTGTAAAAATAAAAAGTGTAATAATAGTGCGTTTTATTATGTGCACCCAAGCATTTGTGAATGTACGCTTTCTAAGCTTTCGATCAAAACTAAACGACACTTTCAACGAATATTCTGTCATTACTGTGTCCTCGATCGAAGCTAAACGACTGCGCACATATTCTACGCGATCAAAATTAAACGTATGTGCGCATATTCCATGAACTCGACTGCGCGTCAATATGACTGCGCACATATTATATTTGAAAGTTTAATTATTAATAAAATATTATGTTGCTAAAATGGGTTTGGGCAATCGATGATTCACAGACTCCCCGCATTCTCTTAAAGATAGCCCTCGTTTTAAGTTAACCTGCGATGATTTTGCAGTGCCTGCCAATCTACTGCTTTTATTTATAAACTTTCTCCGCTAAAAAGGGCGACTTTAGCTCGATTAAAGTAGTACACAACAATTTACCTCAAAATATTGGACTGTTATTGTTTTTTAGATCATTTTTACATACCTTATTTTTATAAAAATGAACAACAAACCAAAATTTTTCTTCACACGAATGACCTTGACCATTATCCAGACTCTATGCATGTCTGACGAAGGCTTTTTTGAGATGATAACATCTCTGTTTATTCCCGTCAAGTTTTGCTAGGAAATTTCTCAAATCGCTATTTCCATTTTGTATAAATATATGCATCACAAATAGGTCTACTTATTAACAAATATGATCTACACGATCATTCTATAGTTATGCATATTAAACATATTTTCTTTATTTACAATGGTTTACAATGCCAAACTATCTTCTCTATATATCTACAATGAGGCAGTGTTATTACACTATGCAACTTTCCTTTTAACTTGCAAGGCAATTCTACTCGTGAGGCATCTAAAGTTGACATTTCTCATCGAACATTTCTTACGATCTACTAACGTTTTCTTAGGATTTCTAACGCTCTTTACAAATTACCATCCCTCCAAATTATAATTGCCTTGCAAGTTGCATGTATATATTATAAGTGTTACGTGTTTTTTTTAGGGTCATTTGTTGTTCATCGTCGACACATGGATGCTCGTTTCATTATCATCATGGTAGTCACATCCCAGCAAAAATCTGGAACGAACAATCCATTTTGAATCTTTTCATGCATGGCTTCAAATATCGTGGATTGAGGCTTACTGGTCGTAGAATGACATCAATCCAGTTGGAGGTTTGAGCACGAAAGTCGAGGTACACGATTTTTACTTCTCTTCTGATAGTTCACTCGGCAATGTCCTGTTTCGCCCAAAACTGCCCAATGTTGTTGCTACTGCTTGGGTGTTTCTCTTTTCGTTTCTTTGTTTAACTGCTTTCATTTCTGTTGTTTTATTTTGTCTTATTCATTAATTTCAACTTATTGTATTGTCCATGTTGTGATGCACATTATATGTTTTTGTCCTGTCTCATTACTATATTTTAGAATTATTTTATCCGGCATTACCGGACCAATTTCAATTTCTTGTACTGTCCATGTTGTAGTGTACATTATATATTTCTGTTTCGTTACTATATTCTTAGACAAGAAACATTATTTTATTCGGCATCACCGCATATCTTGCAAAAAAATAAAATATAAAAATAAACCATATGTTCAAAATAAAACAAAATAATTTGCTTATTGTAGTTTACTATTTCAAAAATCTTCATTTTATGAAATGATGTACGTGATGTTATCGTAACGTCGTAAAGTTGTCTACAAACTTTTTTCCACTCCGGCCAAAGACTTTTTAGTAAACAAAAGTCAGCGCAATCCTATTTGGTGAAAGTATGAAGTATGTTGAAAAATTTTTCTTTCGGACATTGTCGTTGCTCGTTTTAGCTTTATGAGACGAAAAAAACGAAAATATAGTCAAATTTGCTTTTCAATGAAGAGAAATCTTATTAGTTACAAAAGAGTTTACTCTGAATTCTTTGTTTAGGGCTCAGTAATGTTATTGGACATTATACGAATATTAGGAGTGCTAAACTAAAATCTCCCACGCTAAAAATTTATCTACTTCTGATTATATCTACATCTGCATGATTACATCGCGTTGATGACATTAGTCTTAAACTTTGGCAAACTGTCATGAGAAAAACTGCCATGAGAATCGCTGTAAAGATTGGTTCAGATGAAATTAACTGCATGTGTCATGACAAAACAGCAAAAAAACCTTGGGAAATATAGTTAGTGTCGTAATTATTTACGATATAGAACAATTGAATTGATAAACCTTAATATTATATTCAACTCCTAACTAGTTTAATTACACTCGTACGTACAATACAGTTCTACACGAATATTTGTAGTGCCGAGTTTATAAACCGTCCTGGTTTGGCCTTCATTTTAACGATCCTTTGGCATAAACAACGTTGTAAGGATAGGAATCCAGCAGATAGAAGCCATCAATATACCCACTAATAATATGATTCATAGCTCTAAGCTTAGCCAGGGGTGGTTTCATAAGTTTATTATGTTACGAACCTGATCATTTATTACAAGAGCAAAGAAAGTTTTCACTATATTATATCATAGGAAATAGGATTCATACGCTTTGGCACGACCAAACTACTTTGGCCTTCATTTTAACGATCCTTTGGCATAAACAACGTTGTAAGGATAGGAAGGATTGAGTAGAAATATAGCTCTTTACAGGTGCTTCAGAGCACAGTAATGGTTCTCCTAGTCGGTTTATGTCAAACAAAACGACATTTTTGAATACATATATATGTTTAAAATTCCAAATATTATGCTCAGAAAAGGGCGAAGATAATTACCGCCAGCCCCTACATAGTCGCTAACTTAAATTGCTGAATGAGATATTACCATCCTCTCTATATATACAAGCTACATTAATTGCTGCAGTGTAGCGAGTGGGGGATATGAGGAGTTGGGTTCAACTTTAGATGAGCTCTGCCTTCTGCAATATCACGCTAAAACTGATGTAGTTCATAAGTTCGTGGTTTAGGTATTCGTTCTTGTGAATGTCTGTTTTACATATTGCTGCTGGCAAATGACCCATATTGCGTGCACTCCATTATCTGTCGGTCTTTTAGATAAGAAATCAAGATATAGATAATTTTAATTATCGTCGGCAAGGCGTGTCTCTCTGGGGATACAATTTGCTTTGTTAGTGTATTTATAAAATTCAGATTACATATAAAGTTTGTATTTTCTTGGCAAATATTTTGTTTTATGTAATGCGATTTATGCGCACCGATATATTGCCACCCATGAATTTGGCATACAGTTTCTGCATAGCATCCCATAATCACACATTGAATTTTACACGACTTTGGGATAATTTAGCCGGTTTATTTATGCCAAACAAAACGATATTAATAAATACATATGATTATATCCATCCTGAAAAGGGTGGGTATAATACAGTAATACATATTCACCAGTCTTCGTGACCGTATAAGCGAACATGCATGGGCAGAATGGAATCTAGATAATTGTCGAAAGTAGAGAGTAAATGTCTTAGAGTCAAGATTGAGTCGAGAGTCGTAAAACCCCAAATATATTAGCACGCGCGTTATTGCACCAAATATTACAGCAGCATCGAATTGCTTCCGGGGGCAATCGAGCGCGGCACTATTTCTCGCGCGCTATTTTAGCAATTCGATGCCACTTGCTTACACACTTGGTATCATTAAAACGCCAAATAATTCCGCCAGTTGGCGGAACCGCCTTAATTTTCTTGTTCGTCGAAGAACACCACAACGGTGCTCATGTTATCTGCCCGGCTGTGTCGCTCACGCCATTTCGCTAACGCTCGACACGTTAATCAAAAATTGTAGACAATATGAATTGTGGTGCGCATATAGATATACTATCAGATCTTGTGCATACTAGGTTACCTGCAAGGTAGGGATTGCTGCGAGCATTTTAGGGTCCAAGTAAATTGTTATATGAAATATTAGTAAACTAAATCCGCTTTAACTAATAGCAATAGCAGGTTTAAAACACGTAAAGTGAACCTCTATTAAGCGTTAACTCGCTGGGGCTGTACATGAATTTATACCTGTTAGGGAGAAGACTGGCAATGACGTCATTATAGGTCAATATATGCTATGTAATGTATTATTATTTCTAAATCTTTATACAGGATAAAAACTTCAGTTTCTACACAATATTTATACAATAAAATACAGTGTGACAACTGCTATCAACGTTTGTCATGTATAGTTCGTATGAAAAACATCGTTGTGTAGTTCAACTGTTCAAGTTCTAACTTTTATCTCGAAATTGTTCTGAAATAGGCTGCTGGTTTATATTATGATTTCGCGAGTAAATTTGTTAAGCAAAAAGATATATGTTCAACAAAGTATTTGCTGCCCAAAGGATTTTGTAGATTGCAGTCGGCAAAAACGAATCGTCTGAAAATAGCCATTTTTCAATGTCATAAATACCAATTTCTACGATGTTGGATAGAGATACGAGTTGCGGCTCGTTCAAGTCAAAGTCTTTAGAAGCAGCTAGTTTTCAAAATATTTTAATATACGAATCACAACAGGAGTATTAAGAATAATAGTAATATTACGCAGAATTTTGCGCGCATAGCGACATTTTCCACTGCAACAAAGTTGACAGCATTGTACTTTCCAGTTTCCGCGCGGAAAATATTGTTCGGACAAAATTCCGCCTAGCGAAAATACAGGCCCTAAGCAGTAGCGCATGTTTAACAAAATAGAACATTTTTTGATAAGATGGATATTTGTTTTTGAAATATGTTATTTGTCTTGTTGTATGAGTCCACGTAAATGTTTGGCTTCATGTGAAGAGTGACAAAACATCATTTGATACTTTGATTTTGAACTTTGAACGCGCTCGAGAAGACGTGTAATCAGAAACCACGTGAAGATCCGGTAAAAGCACTAAATAACAAAAATATTTAGGCATTTAGCTCATTGTAAAATAGAAATAAAAACATATACCTATGTTTTAAAATAAAATAAGTCAAACATTGCACGAATCTGAATAACTCAGTCAGGCAATTTAGACGATCAATTGCATATTTTATCTGTGACTGTGTCATGTTAACACGACTCGCAAGCGTCAAGCCGCATACTTGAAACATCACTTGATGCAAAATATGGAAATAAGCAAAAGAATACAAATGCCAATGGATAAAAAGACTTCTGTATGTAAGACTTGATTTGCTTCACAGCACTGACGGCTCAACTGCTCAAGCAAAGCGAATTAGCCGTTAGCACATTGGATAGTATATATTGTATATATAGTTTATCGTATATAAACAGTATGAATTTAGCTGCGATCGATTGTATATGCTTTTAGCGTTTTATAAATATATAGAAGTTAAAAATTTGTAATCAACTGTAAACGTAACATATGAACGAAAGACAAAATATCTTACCTTGAATATTGAATAGTCAAAATAAATCAGAAGCTTTAAAATTTGACAAAAATTTGAAGATCCTGTCCGTCGAAATCAAAAAGTACATGGATATGAGCGAGTTTAAAATTTGTGTTCTGCGCATAAAAAACGCGCACGGCCACAATTCCTTGCGCTAAATAAAATTTAGTTCAGAACCCCTTTTTCTGCACAAATTAGACTGCTGCTACGCTCGCTCGCTTCAGGCTCGCTCGCTCCGCAGCAATAAGATATCTATGGTTCAGGAATGTGTTCTGGAATTCAAGAAAGACAAGCAAGGATGGACAAAAGATATAGATAAGAGAGTGTTTCCTATAACTATCATCCTTCATGCATATACAATGAGACTTTGAATTCGTTAATCACAATATGACGAAACATGCAGTTTCTAAAAATGACCTGAAAAAAAGCGCGGTTTGACATGGGAAAACCGCTGCGGGGTTCTCGCGCGGGTGTCACGAATATGCCATGTTACTACGAGATAACTGTAGCCCGAGTGATCGCCTGAGTAGGCGTCTTGTTTAATTACACTCGTACGTACAATACAGTTCTACACAAATATTTGTAGTGCCAGTTTATAAACCGTCCTGGTTTGGCCTTCATTTTAACGATCCTTTGGCATAAACAACGTTGTAAGGATAGGAACCCTGCAGATAGAAGCTATCAATATACCCACTAATAATATGATTCATAGCTCTAAGCTTAGCCAGGGGTGGTTTCATAAGTTTATTATGTTAAGAACCTGATCATTTATTACAAGAGCAAAGAAAGTTTTCACTATATTATATCATAGGAAATAGGATTCATACGCTTTGGCACGACCAAACTACTTTGGCCTTCATTTTAACGATCCTTTGGCATAAACAACGTTGTAAGGATAGGAAGGATTGAGTAGAAATAGCTCTTTAAAGGTGCTTCAGAGCACAGTAATGGTTCTGCTAGTTGGTTTATGTCAAACAAAACGACATTTTTGAATACATATATGTTTAAAATTCCAAATATTATGCTCAGAAAAGGGCGAAGATAATTACCGCCAGCCCCTACATAGTCGCTAACTTAAATTGCTGAATGAGATATTACCATCCCCTCTATATATACAAGCTACATTAATTGCTGCAATGTAGCGAGTGGGGGATATGAGGAGTTGGGTTCAACTTTAGACGAGCCCTGCCTTCTGCAATATCACGCTAAAACTGATGTAGTTCATAAGTTCGTGGTTTAGGTATTCGTTCTTGTGAATGTCTGTTTTACATATTGCTGCTGGCAAATGACCCATATTGCGTGCACTCCATTATCTGTCGGTCTTTTAGATAAGGAATCAAGATATAGATAATTTTAATTATCGTCGACCGGCAAGGCGTGTCTCCCTGTGGATACACTTTGCTTTGTTAGTCTATTTATAAAATTCAGATTAC